TTTGAGAAGCACTCCTCTTAATGATTTGTCTGTCTCACTCCACTGATCCGTGTGACGTGTTGTTAGGCAAAAAAAAAAAAAAAACCAACAAAAAAAAAAAACCTAACACAGAGAGGTTTTAATGTTTATTAATTCTTTGCACAATTTCATTTCAGGAAAGCCTTCCAATTTACTGAGGATCACATCATGCACACAGTGTTAAATATGCTATCTAAAAGTTTATTCTTTGAGGGGAAAAGTGAAAAGGTTCATTTGTATGTCTTTCAAGGTCACAGCTGAGATAACTCAGTGCAAGAAATATCAGGGTCCCACGTGTGAGCACACTGCTTTGTTGACTATTAAATATACTTGTTATAGAGGATAGAGGGGTAGGGTAACTTCTCCCTGAGGAGGTTAGCTTAAGCTATCCATTTGTTTTATAGACAGAAACCTGCACTGTACTAATGTGAATTGTATTGACAATTGACAATGAAGTGAAATTAACTGTTCTCCCATGTTTCAGAAAAAGATGAACTCTAATGTACAAAATATCATTGTGTGCAGAGATGTACATCTTGCAAACAGTGAAAATAGGATTGCTTTCTATGTCTGGACTGTTGCATGTTAAATTCAGCATACCTTACAGTTTAATTTTTCTGCTAGCAGATCTGCTAACACAGAAACAGTAATAAAGATGGTGAGAATACAGAAGTAACTTTTCCTCCCCCAAAATGGTCTAGCTGAAGTTATAAAAATGAAAGAAAATAATTTTCCGCAGCTGATCTGCTCACACTTAGTGGCAATATGAATTCAGGAAATTTAAAAGAGAAAAATCATATCCCCAAGGGGAAACTTTGGTTCATTTTAACTATCTAGAAGGATCTACATTTCCAGGAACTGGGTTATGGACAAGAAATATAAACTGACTGACCCAACTCTGTTGTGTAGATTATTGTGTGTGTCTGCTGATCGGTTCTTTCTTTTTTATTTTTATTTATTTATTTATTTATTTGTTTTAATTGAGCAAACCCAGGATGGTATTTCATGAACTAATCTTCAAAGTGATGAAGTCTGGCCTCTGACTTTCCTATATTAAAAAGAGTTGTTAAAAAGAGTTTTTATCAAAATAACTTTTATTAGGGTTAGCAATAAATTGGTTTATTCGATATCTAAGCTGCCAAATCCTGGAAAATGGAATAGTGATGATTCTCTCTGTGTTAACTGTCTCTTCCTTTCAATTTAGCAGCAGGCTATAATTTTTCTTGTCCTTCTCCGTAAGCACAGTACTTTCTCTTTTTGGCTCTTGCGTTCTTTCCTATTGTGAACTCTTTCTCACTGCAGACCTTTTCCTTCCTGAACACCCCCATCTTTTTTTGTTTTTGTTTTGTTTTTTTTTTTTTTTCTCCCAAATTTCAGGCATTTAAACTACTGAAGTAGCAAAAATGTTTTGGTTGTCTGTTTTTCTGTATAAATACGTTTCCCCTCTCTTGGGATAATTTGCTCCTGAGAGTTTAATAGTGTTCGTTACTTGCTTGCCCTTTATGCCTTATACTGTATCCACAAGTAACTCCGCTTACCAGATCTCACGGGAACACAATACTATTATTCTGCTTGGTCTTCTGCTTCCTTTTGTTAGAAGAGTGATTGCTTTTACCCTTGCTACCTTCTAACTGTCCCTCTCTAGCTGTATCAACCTGCTCCACCTGCCAATATTTTTTCCCTTTTTGAAATTGAAGTCGATCTCCTTGCTCTCTCGCTATCTTACGGATTGTCAGGTGTTTTCCCATGATTATCAGGTATAGGCCTCAATCCTGTAGTGTTCAATCCTTCAAATGTTTCAGTGAGGCACTGCAGAAAGTCCACTGTCCTTGGCCAAGTTTTTTAATGTCCTACTATATCACTGCTCCCTTTCTCTTCCTGTGCTTGCTTTAAACAAGTTTTCCACCCACCTCCTGCTGACTTTCAGAAGGGGACAGATGAACTGTTGTTACAGACAGTCCCAAATCTCCTTTTTTTTCTTTCCCATCTTTTCCCAAGCAAACTGAAGCAATCTCTAACAATTTGCTCAAACAAGCTCTGATAATGTAATATCAGTTGTAGCTTTGATCTTTTATTAATAATTTAATCCCATTCACATCCACCTCACACACTAATGCTAGCCTAATTGTTAAAGAGAATTGGCAGGCTTTTCCCCTGTACCCGCTCATTAATCCTTTTCTGCCTACTTCAGCTCAGTCCTCTTTTGATACTCTTAATGCTGGATTGACTGGATTTTGATTATCTCTCCATGGTAAATACAAAAGGAGTATCAGATGAATTATGACAAATTAAGATGTAACTTTCTAAATTGGTTTCTGTGAACTAGCTATTTCAGAAGATCTGTATTGTGATGACCATTCAGGACAATAAGCACTCTAATAACACTAATAATGCAACAGAATATGAAATGTATTCACTGCACAGAAGAAAGATGTGGCATTTGCCTATGCTGCTTATGTAAGGAAAGAGCTGAGGGGGCACACACAGCTCTTTTAATCTCTGTCAGAATGATCCCCGAAGAGCTGTTAATCTTTTCCAGGTAGCCTATCTTGAGTATGTATAGCCATAGTGAGGAATACAAAGCAGGCAGCTCTACACGTTTGGATTCTGCATTCATCTGTGTACAGCACTGATTTCTGGGGACAGAGCTAATTCTGCTTATTCCTCTTTAGCATACTGCAGGACCATGCTGAAATCCTTGGTCTGAGAAGCAGGTCGATTTGGCTTGTGAGGTGTGGATGTCTCTGTAGAGCCTCCTATTGTACATTGCAGACAAATTTTTAGTATAGCAGGAGATCAGGATCCCCTCAGAATGACAGGGCCCAGAAACTACCTCCCCAACACCTCCTGGGGATTTGGCTGCTTAGATGTGGCACAGGTACTCACATGAATAGCATGTTTTTGAGTTTGATCCCTATGGTAAAGAATGTGCAAGGAGCACTTATTAACCACGAATTCAATAGCTAGAAGATGAGTGAAAAAATTAATCACATGATACAATCATTTAATTATCACAGATAACTGATGCAGTCATTCTACTTCATTTGGTCAAGTTTAAAAGACCTGACTTACGAGTGTTTTTCTCTTTATTATTTCTCACTGAAACGTAAGTAAAGCATCCAGACAGCCACTGCACAAGATTCTTGTGTTTTTTCTTACCTGCCTTTATTCCACTGATGTCTTTAATTTTTGTCACTCTGATACAGAGACAAAATTTTGACAATTTGCAGTAGATATGACATTTAGCCACTGCATTTCTCTCTAATAGTAAACATGCAATGCTTTATTGTCTGTTTTCACTTCCTAGTTTGTAAAGACTCTACTGGTGTTTGTAATTACAATTCTAAGTAAATCAAACGTTTGTATTTTCTCAAGTAGAACAACATTACCACCTTGTGGCTATTTGCTATCACACCCAGATGAACAGGACGTCCTATTGATTGCGATGTCTTCTAAACTGGCAGCCGTATCTTCTTTACAGATGTCTTTTGTTTTCACCAGAACACACAAACTTTGGGGTGCTAAAGCTTTAAGAAAAAAACTACCCTAATACATTTTATAAATTACTTCTTCAAAGTAGGAAAAAAAAAAGCTATAACCCTTGACCCTGCAAATACTTGAACCTTTTCTTCTGGAAACCTTTACTATGATTCCCTCAAATTTCAGCAAGTTGTGGTTATTTAGCTTTAAGAACATAATCCAGAAGAGTTGTGAGAGAGGACATAGGAACTTGAAGCATTAAGTCTCTAATAGCAGAGGGAAAAATTATTCTTGTGTCCATCTGTGGCGTTTTTACTCAGCTGGGCTGCTGAGCTCCACCACAACTAACTGCTCTCTCATTCCCCATCCTCAAAGGGAAAGGGGGAGAAAATATGATGGAAAAGGCTCAAGAGTTGAGGTAAGAACAGGGAGATCACTCAACAATTACCATCACGGGTAAAACAGACTCAGCATAGGGAGATTAAATAAATGTATTACCTATTACTAACAAGATAGAGCAGTGAGAAACTAAAAAAAAATAATGTCTCCCCATCTACCCTCTTTTCTGTTCTCCCCCTGAGTGGGGCAGTGGAATGGGGGCTGCAGTCAGTCCCTAATGCTTCATCTCCACTGCTCCTTCACTGTGCCTCTCTGCCCCTGCTCCATGTGGGGTCCCTCCCATGGGATGCTGTCCTTCCCAAACTGATCCTGTCTGAGGTTCCCACAGGCAGCAGCTCTCCAAGACCTGCTCCCACATGGCTCTGTCCCACGGGGTCCATCCATCCATTCCCCAGGAGCAAACTGCTCCAGCGCGGGTCCCCCACGGCTGGGCGGCAGCTCCCCCCAGGCCCCCTGCTCCTGCGTGGGCTCCTCTCCACGGGCTGCAGCTCCGGCCCGGGGCCTGCTCCTGCGGGGGCTCTCTGTGGGCCGCAGCCTCCTCCAGGCCACATCCACCTGCTCCACCGGGGGCTCCTCCACCCACGGGGGGGGCTGCAGTGTGGAGATCTGCTCCATGGGGGACCCATGGGCTGCAGGGGGACAGCCTGCTCCACCAGGGGCCTCTCCACAGGCCTCAGGGGAACTGCTGCTGCCTGCCTGGAGCACCTCCTGCCCTCCTGCTGCACTGACCATGGGAGCTACAGGGCCAGGTCTCACTCCTCTCTTCCAGCTACAGGTTAGTTTGTTTGTTTTTCCTTTCTTAAATCTGATCTCACAGAGGTACAACCAACATGGTTTATTGCCTCAGCTCTGGGCAGTGGCAAGTCCCTTTGGAGCTGGCCCTTACCTAACATGGGGCAGCTGGATTCTCCTCACAGAGGCCACCCCTGCAGCCCCCTGCCACCAAAACCTTGCCCTGTAAACTCAATGCACCATGATAAATCAAAAAAAATGAAAGTGCTAAGTAGAAAAGGCAGAAAGAGAATTCTAATTCTATATCAGAAAATGCTTTCTAATAGTGAAGGGCAGTGAAGCGCTCACTGACTACTTTCTTGTAGGGATTGTTGAACCTTTGATTCTGGAAATCTTAAAAGCAAGAACTCTTCAGATATGGTTTACAAGTAGTTGTCCTGTCCAACAATATTATGAGTTGAGGAATTATTGGACTTGCAAGCAGAAAAAATAAGTCATTCTCTGAGGAATTTCTGATGTTTTCTGTTGGTTATTTGACTTTTGTCAAATAACAGGGGTTGTTTGTTTATTTTGTTTATTTATACTTATGTCAGGAAAGGATATGAAGATAGAAATAATCTCGTCATGTAAGAACTGACTTATAGTAGAACAGAAGTTTTGTCTAGAATTTTTCCACAGAATTCTTCTTTTTCCTTGAATAAATAAGTAAGGCTACAGCTACCAACACAAGGAGAGAGAATTACCAGAGACCACCTTCTTCATTAAAGCTATAGAAAGCTTTTCTTGACACAACTGCAGTAGAGGCACAATATCTCTTCTCTTTCTAACACCAGCATGTCTCTTCAGGATTTCTCTTTGGCTCACTTAAAAAAAAAAAGTCAGCCCAAAGGTCAGAAATAAAAAAAAATAATAAAAATCACTGCAGTCTAAAGCTTGTATGTGGCTTTGCTGTTGAAGGAACTATCCAGAAACCACAGTATGGCCACCTGCTGCCATGCTGTTGTTGATTCCCAAAATCCTGGCAGGAGAGTGTGTCTTAAAATTTCAGCTATGGTGGCATGCCTCTGTTCAGAAAACAAAACAAAGCAAACAAAAAAAAAATGATTTAGGTAACAACATGAAGCATCCTGTTTAACAATTGTTTTAACTCACCTCTGCGCTTATATTACCTTTTTGGGCTGGCTTTTCTGGTATAAATCCCTGTTGTTTCCCAGAAATCAGTAAATTGTTTCAGTTTGTACCAGTCCAGTCTTTGGCCTTTTAGCTCAGCAGCACTGAGCTACCAAGCTTTTTCAAATAATGTTTCCAAACTGATGAAGCATCAAAGCTTTTAAAGCCCTGTAAGCTGCAAATGCTATTGGGATATGTGAGGAATTCATGGCTGACTTGGAACCCTATTTATTAATACTGCCTCAGAGCTAGCATATTGAACAGAAAATGTTCCCAGGAAAATATGGTGTGCTCCCTCTGTGATTTTACAGGGAGGTGGCATGAGGGAGTTTAGAAAGAAAGTGTCATGATACCAGATAAAGATGAAGGATTTACATATACAGTGTATCAACCCCAGGCAGCACTGCACAGGCTGCCCAGAGCCTGTGAGGTCTCCTCCGTGGAAATCTCCAAAAGCCACCTGGATGTGGTCCTGTGCAACCTGCACTGGGTAGCCCTGCTTCAGCAGTGAAATTGGACCAGGTGACTCCAGAGGTCTCTTCCAACCTTCTGTTGAAACCTTAAGCATTCTGTGATTCTTTGATTCTATGGTTTTGATTTTTCTGAAAAAAGAAAAAAAAAAAAAAAAAAGTAAGTATTTCAGGTCTGTCTGCAGATGTGATGCCATTCCGAGTTTACAAAAGGTAAGATGTCAAAAAGGATATATATATATATATATATATATATTTTTTTTTTTCCCAGAGAAAAACAGCCTTTCTATGTATCTGAGGAAAATTATAATGCCTATACATAATAGTTACTACTGATCATAAAAGGAAAAAATGTGTTAAATCGGGTTCCCTTAGCCAAGAATATTTGGCTTGTCAACGCTGTCACAAATATGACTCACTGGTAATCGGTGTGTATTATGCAAATAGATAGGTAAAGTGGTGAGAAGGATACTAAAATAATTGTTAATACAACAAATTTTTTATGTTTCCAAACTTAGTTTTGTAAATAAATGTTTGAGAGTAATGATGAGAGAGAAAGTACTCTCTAATGTGCACTGAAAAAGGAATTTAAATGAAAATGGTACAAAAAAGGCAAAGAAAATATAAGTATTTTGGAAAAAAAAAAAGTTAAATAGTTTGAACTATATAAAATTATTTAGAATTTTATTGATATGAGGATATTTCTAAATAATACACAGCTATGGTATCACTTCTTTAATGGTTTGAATCAGATGGTTCTGAAGACACAAAATGACAAAGATTTAATGAACAATCTACATTGCAGCAGTCAGGATGTAGGAGAACTGTTTATTGAGTAAGGATTGCTATAGATTTTACTTCTGGAATTATGTTTAGTGTAAGATATGAAATTTACAAAATGATATTTTATTTATAAAATTGCTCCGCTAGATGGGTCAGATCTTAACTGGTACAATAAACCTGCTGCAAAGTTAGTATTTAAAAAACTTAGTGTTGCTATACTAAGTTTCAGTAGGTCAGATTTGGCACTACTATGTTGACTTTGTAGAAATGCATTTTTAAACATTAACTAAGTAGGTAACCAGCATAAAAGCCAAGCAGGCACAATTTGCAAAAGTGTGCTTAGAATAGTAATACAAAAATGTAATGCTTAGCTTTGAAAAAAATGATTATTTTTTCTGTCTGCTTCTGCTGATTTTCTAAGTGGATCTGGGTTCATCCTGCTTAGTTTGAAGAAGCTGGCAAAAATACATAATTTAAAAGGTATGAATTCAGAGCCTGGACTTACCCTTTTAGCTACCTGAGAGCAGAAGGTGATTCAGATCGTCACTTAGCAGAACTGCCCTCTTCACTTAAAGTTCTTGAAGTTTCTCTGAAGAATCCTAAAAGAAAGAAGTTGCCCAATATGAGTGTCCCCAAGTACTAATTTGCATAAGCAGAAGAGGTGCGTACAGTTCTCATGCGAAGTTTTGGAGGCTACATTGTGTAGGGTTTTAGTAGTTGCAGAAATCAGCTGGTGTGAAATCCACTAAAAAGAAACGATGATTCCTAAATATAGTATTTTTTAGAACAAGAATTCAAGGGGAGTAAGACATCCTTCTGAAACTGCAGGAAAGCAGGATGTAATTCTGAAATCAGAATAAACAGCAAGGAAAGAATACTTGTGCTACAGACAAGGCATAGGAACTTATCTTGACTTAAAGGACCAAAGTTTCACTTTTAAATCTGAAATACTACCTTTAAGATTGATAAATGTAAATAATGTCAATAATGTTGATAAATCTGATCAATTATTATCTGATAGATCATTTTTTAGTTAAATGAACTACTTCAAGGGAACATTACCATGTTCATAAACATTCGGAAAGGGAAACTCTTGAAGCAATCCATTCTGAACTAGTTATTTCAGTGTTTATGAGTGATAAATAGTCAATGCATATGTGGGAAATTATAGCAAAGGCAAAAAGGAAAAAAAAATAACTTTTTATCCTGATTTGTGATAGAATGTATTTTAGAATTTCCTCTCAGACAGACATTCCATATGAGACTCATGTCTCCTAGCACTCAGAAAGGTTGTATGATTTATATGTACTTAATCAGTGGAAAATGTGTTGAGATCAATTCAACTGGGAATACCACAGGTGGTGAAAAATACCTGAGTTGAATCTCAACTGCTCTGAAAATTAAGTAGTTTGGAATAATGCGGTGCTTTACAAGCAAGGAGATAAAATAATTCTCATCTGTAACTCAATCCTGGCTTTTTAAAGCTCAGTTGGTAAGGCCTGCAAGCTGAGTCTTGCACACAGTGACACATGACCTGTGCTCTGAGATGTTAAATATTGAGCCCTAAGTATCGCACCTTAGCAACTGACATTTGTATCCTGAGTCTGAGTAGTCGATGGACCTGTGAGTTGCAGCTCTCTCTGTGTGGTCCAATTGTGCATTGTCCATACCCAGCCCATACTCAGTCCTTGCAAAATTAAGTATCAGCATTATTATTTCCTTTTATGTAAAAATAAATGATGGGACATGAAATAGTGACAGTAAAAGAGTTGTATTTTTTTTTATGAACTTCGTTAATGGGTGAAAGTTTATTTGTTCTGCTCCTATAACTTACTTCTAAGCTTTCTTCTAAACATTGTATCTGCCTTAGGAATCTCTTGAGGTAATTTATATCTTGGATAAATTGCAAACTGTTTCCCCGTGTCCATTTCTGACTTCTTTTTTTGTCTCATGTACTCTGAAATCATATGAAAATAGTTTTGTAGCTTTTCCTGTGAGTTATTAATGTGTTACTTCCTGCACTGTCTCATATTGTTATCTCCTTGTCTTGCTTGAAAGGCAAATGAAGAGCAAAGAAATTGTCAGAATCCTTTGTGAACTAACTCACACTGAGGTTCTCCATTTCCTTGGGAAGTTAGTGCGCTGGTCATGTGAAAAAGGGCTGTAGTTAATATTTTCAACTATTACAACACTAAACTTGAGAGTTACGTCAATCCCAGTGTCAAGCTTCCTCCAACTTCGTCAGTATTCTGAGTCCCCGTCTAATTTTTGTATGCTAATTTTGCAGTCTGACCTTTGCATTAGTAGACAGGTGGGAAATGCGTGGATCCTGTCAGCTGCTTAATGGCTTCCTAATCTGAATAGGCTGTTCCGTGTCAGCTGTGCCATCCCGAAATACCCTCTTCTACACAAAAGTGCTTTGCATTTAAACAAATGTCACTGAGACCATCTGACAGGTGTGGTACTATATTAAAACTACACCTTTTGGGTTAACTGTAGTAATCATTTCTGTATAATTGTTAGCAAAAAAAAAAAAAGTGGAATTTCTAGGTTTCTTTTGTAAACTAGCATCAGGTGCTGTGCAGATGAAGAATCTCTGCTTAATTAACCCCCAAATCATGGGTCAGGCTCTAAGGGTTGTATAACACATGCACACACATGTCAATAAAGTGTTCTTTATTGACAATAAAAAAACAATTCAGTTAGACTTTTTGAGCTAGAGGTTTCATTTGGGCCAATGGCTTTTGAAGGACTTTTCTTCTGAATGTGGCTGTTTCCTTCATGAATCTATGGCCTCCACAATGTCCTCTGCCAGCCAGTACCACAATTTCACTATAAGGTGGATGTGAAAGGACTTCTTCTTCTGGGGTGGGGTTTGTAAATGTTGCTTGTTTATTTAATTAGGTAATCTTTAATTCCTGGATTACAAGACAGAATGAATTCACTAGGTACCTTTACTGTGACTCTATCATCTTTCACCCTACTAATCTCTTTAGCTGAAGTGTTTCAGCCTATTTAGTCTCTCTTTTTATGAAAATTGCTCACTGCTGCTGAGCATAGTCATGGTATTTCTCTATAGCTTTTATGTTTCTACAGTTGCCTTTGTTTTTTGCAAAGTGACCAGAAATGCAACTGGTGTCAAAGTTGGGAACAGTGGTAAAATGATGTTTTCTGGGTTGTTTTGTCTACTTTTATCGTGATTCCTAACATTCCATTTGCCTTTCTGACTGCTGCTGAAGTTTAAAATGACATTTTACAGGACCATGTACAAAGAGTCTAAGCTATTTTGCTGGAGATAATTTAGACCGTTATTATGCGTATGTAAAATTAGAGTTCTTTCTATGTGTATATTCCTTTGCTTGCATCAACATTTAATTTCATCTTCCATTTTATTGTCCAGTAATTCAGCTTGATGCAAGCCTTCTCTTCATTTTCAGTATTAAATTTGTATGCCAAATAATTTCATAGCATTAGCAAACATTACAGCAAAGTTTTAATCATTTTCTAGACTTTGGCTTTTGACTTTGTGCAGACGTGGTTCCTGTGTACACAGAAGCGAGATATGATATATGGAAATGAGCAAATAAATGAAATCTAGAGAAAATGGTTAGGATTTTTGTTTTCTTCTGAAGCCTGTGGAATCTTTTTGCTTTTGCTCTGATGAAAATAATGGTTTTCAAATATTTAAAGGCGATTTTGTTTATCAGGTGTTTGTTTGAGCGGCAGATTTATGGAGATGCCGTTCCAACTATTTGCACAATTTAGTTCTGAGATGAGGAGATGTAAGACATGCTTTAAATAAAATAATAACATTAATAAAATAAGACTTACTGAAACTGACCACGAAGAATACCTTTTTTTTTTTTTTTTTTGACCCTTTGTTTTTGCAAAGATTATGGTGTTACGGAGAGTGAAGAAACACCAATAATTTCACCTGTCTCTGTATTTTGGAATATTATTACCAACAGGTGTTTGAATGTGGTAAAATTTAAGTGAAAGTATGTTGTTTGCTTTAGGCAATTAAATGATTACTTATTTATTTAATAATAGATGTATATAAAAATTCAACGCGATGAGTAAGAACTTGTGGGCCTCCCTGCCTAGACAGTTTTGGAAATCTTCCAAGACACTTGATCCAATGAGATTTTTTTCAGTATTTCAAATAATCTCAAATTTCAGAATTTCAAGTGAACATTCATTCCAACAAGACCATTCCAATTTTAATGAGCTTGGTAGCACGATAATTTAAGTAATATCTTCTAATTTTAAACTCATTTCTTTTTCTATTTCAAAAGAAAAGAATTTTTACTGCATAAATTATGTTCTTTTTAATTGACGATGGGTTCAGCTGCTTTTCCACATAAAGATGGATCGTTGCTTTTGCTGCAAATAACTACTGGTTCTTGGCATTTCAGAACCAAATGCCATGGAAGTCAATGGAAAAAATTCTTGATTTTAGTGAGTTACGGTTCAGGTTTCTGACTGGAAATGTGGACATTACTACGGAAAATGAGTTTGAAATTACTGGATGATGTTAATGTACAGATGATACATTTCACTAAGGGTTTTTTTATGTTTTGGAAACCCATAAATTTTAGAAATAATGTCAAACTAGAAGCAATTTCAATGTACACTTTTTGTTACTCTTTCAAAAAAAAAAAAAAAAAAAAAAAAGGCAGTAAAGCAGTATCTGAAAGACTTGCCCAGAAGCCTGTTGAATCTGATGGGAAAAAAAAATTGTGTGCTTTGGGAACTGTACATCAGACATTAGATCAGAGGCTGAGTGACTACCATAAGAACAGTACAGATGGATTGAGAAGGTGAGAGAGCCTTGTGGTTTCAGATTAGCCACTAATGGCTTGGCATCTAGAATGTACTCTGCTATGATAAAAGTGAAAAACAGATTATGTAATAATTCTGTGAAGTCTGTGCACTCTAGAAAATGGTGTTTTGAAAGCACAGGATTTCCTTGTGTTAAGCAGAGTGTCCAAGTCATCTAAATATGAAGAAACCTTATAAGATTCTTTATACTCTAAAACGTTTCTTCATTTCTGCCGTGACATTCATCCTTTATGGGCCTAGCATCCTGGTCTTGCTACATCAAAACTCCTCAGAAAGAGTCAAGCATGTCTTGAAGCTCTTTGCTGAACTCAAACTAAAGCACCTCATAAAATATTTTTTAATCTTGGAAAAGACAGTAGAGTCTCTTCATAAAACAATACAGATCCAGTATTCTTGATGGCATAGGAATAGGAAGCCTACACATATAGTTTGTGTAAACCTGTGCAGAACAGTTAAATTTGTAAAAGCAAGCTTCAGTCCATGGGCTGATGTACTACAGGTGAATACTATGAAATACCAGATGAACGAACATTCATGTCTATGAACATATGAAGAGTAAGAATGTTTACCATGAAGTGTAGATGGATAAATAGGTCTGTGAGACCTTATAATGGCTACAGTCTGAAGTTGAAATTCTTCTCCTGTGTCTCAGTTAGCTAAAAAACTCAATACATAGTTTCTTTTTGTTTTGTTTTGTTTTTACCATATTTTTTTATGATTATAGGTGTAGCATAATCTTACAATGTAACCTGGGGCTTATAGCTGATACATGGTGTACTGTTTTGTATTTAGTTTTTAAAATGTTCTTTAAAGGGAAATGAAACAATGTAGTTGCTGTTTATTTTTATTTTATCATTTACCTACAGAAAAAGTTCACCAAGGCAAAATTGTACACCATAACATTACAGTAGAGAAAAGAAAATCCAAGAGGCAAAACATCATTTACCATTTTTCAGATTAATGCAAACAGTACTTCTCATCCTCTGGTCTTTTGGATCTTTTGTTTAGAATTCAATCTGAATTTGCACTACAACAAAATATAAATGTATTCTTCTTCAAGACTGGTTTGTTTCCTCTGGTGAAGGTAGATTGTCAAGTGCTCCCATCTCTTCAAAAAAGAAAAAAAAAGTATGTGTATTAATCTTGGAAAATAAATCATAAAATCCAATTTCAACAGTACACATTTTTATATTTTTCTTCTTTCAACTATAAGATGCAAATCTTCGAACTTTTGATGATTTAAATTATAAACATGTTTTCTTCTAAATGTTAAGAAGCTTTTCCTGTTATAATTTTACTTTTTTTTATATATATATATAAGAAACTGCAGGGATAGAGTGACAGAGTCAAAATTTTGTGGCTCCACATAGTTTTACTAGCAGCATTTTGGGCTGTTTGCTAGCATGCATTTTTATGATGCAACTTGATTGTAGAATACACGCATAAAGGAAGATGTTTTTATTTTTTTGGGAACAAGCATTTCTGAATTTCAACCAACTGCTCTTGGTTGTAAACCAAGGCTTTATTTAATTTGTTATCAAACAGTTTTTTATAACTCCCATATAATCAGACTGTATTTAGTTTGTTTTCAAATATTCTATATGCCATGTCCATAAAGTTTTGGTATCAACAGTTACTTTTGTCACACTGCCTGGAGTAATCAAATAGTATTAGAACCCTGCTGTGCTGGCTATTCATTGACCTGCAGTTTGACAGGACAGCCTTTGCTCTTAAAGTCAGGCATATTCCTAAATGCTTTAAAGTGGAATTGACAGTTCATCTCCTTCCACCGTTACTCCCAGAAATGCTGTCCAAAGGCAAATCTGCAGCAGGCTTGTACATTCATGACTGGTCCTATCTCAGTAAATTTCAAACCAAAAATGACAACAGAAGCAGGATCTTCAGTGATTCTGATAGGTATAGTCAGATTTAAAAAGTGTTCACTAACCTTTAAGATGCAAGTAAGTCAAAAATTCAATTACTGTGCGCACAATGTTTTCATCAGCCAGTGGTCTTCCAAGATTTCCTAGAAAACAAGTTGATTGTTACTTAATGTTAACATGGTGTAAAGATCTATTCATTTTATGTTGTGGCTGAGTTTATAAGTACCCTGAAAAAGTTATCTGGAAAAAATGAAATTAAAAAAACAAACAAAAAAAAAAAAACCACCTTGAATGGAAAGCCTCATTTCATGGAAAAGCAAAGCAACTTTGAGGTAAAAAGCTACAATTCTCAGAATCAAAAATTGCCCAATTTTTTATGCCATTGCTGTATAGGAGCTACTTTGACACCTTAATGGTCATAATCCTTAAGACCATATGAGTCCAATTGCAGAAGAAAGATATCCTCTGCTCTCAGCTCCCTTTTTTGTGTCTGCTAGCCTGAGAAGGAAGGGAAAGGTAAATTTAGCAAATTCATCAGCTTTACCAAACAGAAGAAAGTTCTCTATGTAGTCTGACTTTGTTCACATTAGTCTGCTCATGTGTCACAGAAGTGATGTGTAGTTACAAGAACTAGGCCTGGGACTTGACTAAAGGCTCAGAAATGTGTGCTTTTGCATATATATCAAGTGCAATATAGTCCCCTTTAATCTTCTGCCTTTGATACTTCTTAAATGGCCCAAATTATCAAGCTCTCTGGAAGCTCATTATTATACTCAGGGAAAATGAGTAATAGTTTTGCTCTGTCTGTAAATAAATGGAGACAGCTTGCTTTTTATCAACAAGGTGGAAGCTTGTTCGATATTGGAGAACAAACAGTAGGTAATTTTGCTGAGGATTTTAGTTCTGTGAATGTAAAAGAGATGGCTACCAGAATCTGATTCACAGTCCATTATTACCCTGGTGAAAATACCGTCTCTTGATGTTATCACAGAGGACATGTTTTATCTCAGAATACAGTCTGAAAGACTGGCTTTGCAGCACATGGCTGTTGTGGGAGTTCTTCCGTGACAGAAGAGATGATTCAGGTCTGTAGTGATGCACAGATCAGACTGAGCTGTGTAGCCCAAATGAAAAATATTTAAGATGAATCGTAAGGGATATAAAGGTTTCTGCTCTACAGAGAGTCAGCATTCGTGAATTTGTGTGGAAGTTTGTGTCTGGATGTCTTGTCTTCTAGTCTTTGAATAGACACAAACATGCTAATTCGTATATTAATAATATTAGTGTTTTCATTTGAAGTTTCTTAGTTTAAGTTTTATTCTGATCTCATTTGTTATGGACTTTTGTTATGATTAATATAATTATAGTTGTAGTTAATTGACCCATATTTTATTCATAATATGATAATTATTGCATAAATATTTTTTAGGTATTTGAGAATATTATGCATACATATTCCTATAAGTATATGGGTCCTTAAGTCTGTATAGTCAATTACTTTTGGACTCCAGTAGTGAAAGAGTTAGGCTCTTGAAATTTAAAAATTTTCCTAATTTTGCTCATAGATTTTTTTTTTTAATTTTATTTTGATCTTTTGTTATGCAACTAACATAGCTTACAAGTTCTAGGATATCTTGAGAGCTAGTGAATTTTGTAGTGTTCCTTCAAGGAAACAGAGTGGTTCTTTGCAATGAATTCTTCTACAGGAACACTGTAAGAAGTAGATCACTGTTTTAAGGTACTTTTGTAAAGGTCATTTCAACTTCATTTAAAATAGGAGCTCTAGTTACTTAACCAATTTTACATTCACATCTCCTTTGGATAGGAATTCCATCAGAAATTTCAGCTTCAAAGGAAACTTTTGATGAGAGTAGAGCATCTAAAATGAGGTCCATAATAGAAGCAGTTGTTTAATATATATGTCCTATTCAGACTACTTTGGTTGGTTTTACTTTTAAACGTGGAGATTCAGCAGTACCTGCAGAAGAGTTCCATAATTCCTAACCATCATACTTCTGTAAAGGAGCTGGCACTTTATCTGCAAATGGCAATCTGTTGCTGTCTGAGTTGTACTGTTAGATTACAAACACTGTCTTCCTCTCACTTTGTTTATGACTAGCCAAACACTGCTTTAATACCAGTGTTTGAGGAAATATTGTTAGTTTTGTTGTTATATAAGTACATACCAGAACTAAAACAGCACTTACTCTGAAAATGCAAAAACTAATGTATATGTTGATGCTACTCTTCTATTTACAGAGTAATTATTTCCGTGAAATTATAATGAAGCACATTTCTGTTATGTATGAACTTATTTACTGTTAGATACACTAGTATTGTGTTGAGAGGATTTAAAATAAACTGCATGGTCTGTGGGGCCGGGACTTTATCTTCGTCCATTTGTGGGGTGATGAACGTAACAGCACACAAGTAAGTGCCATTTTCTGTGATCGGAGTGAGAAATGTGGCTTTTTGACAGTCTAAAGATGAGATTCATTCTACCTCATTTTAGATGCTTGCAGCAGATTTAGTTTCTCATCTGGTGAAAAAAACAGGTTTTTCTAGAAATTTCTACATCTTATCCTTGAAATAGGTGTTAATTTCTCTTCATTGGTCAGAAAGAGGGTTGAAGCACGTGTTTTAGAGGCCCAGCTTTGGATGATGAGCCTGGACAGCCTAACAGAAACCTGGGCTGCATCCTTTTGATTCTCATTTACTAAATTCTCATACATGAAACCTCAAAAAAATACATCGACTAGACTTAGCTTTTGGACCCAATCTTTCGAAGAAAATAATCAAAGTTGTTCAAATATAGGAAATACTGTGAGACCTGGAGAATTTTTCGTTTGTTTGAACTGGTGAAGAATCTTCTAATATAAATAGCACCATACAGTGTTGATGTCTGGTTATAAAACTGTAATATCAGAATAAAAAATTATATATATTTATACATATTTATATATTTTTATCTATAACCTACATATATATATATATATATATAGGTTTCCCTACTGAAAATAATTCTTTATGCTTTCACTTCTTTGCTGAAGAAAGGGAACTCCTGAGTATCTAAAATACTGATTTGAATATACAGAAATTAAAATAGGTTAAAAATATAATAAATGATATTACTTTTAAGTAAATATGATTATGGTACTTTTCCTGAGGCATCAAGTTGTTTAAGTATGAAAGGCCAAAATTTAAATTTTATTCCTTACGTGCATTTAGTGGGATTTTTGGTAGAGTGCAAGAGTAACCTTGTATCTAGGTAGTAAGTTAACTCAATGACAGTAAGTAATTACTACATAAAAAACTAAAGTCAAATCAACAATACTGGCATTCAGAATTTTGTTACCTGCTTTTATATCCTCATCAGGCTGTATTTCGCGTTTACCAGTGAAACCATGTTTGTCGCTAAAAGATCTGTGGTTATCTACTGCATCTGACAAATAAATTAAAAATCAGAGGAGTTAATTGACTTGAAAACAACCTTTGTCACATAGCTTGCCTTTTATGGATTTAAAAAAAAAGACACAACAAACACTTTTGATGGATACATGTACAAAACAGCAACAAAACAATTAACGTGTCACTAAATAAAATAACCTTTCTTCTGAATTAGTGCTTATGACTTATATAATTTAACCAGTCCTGTACTACCAGACCAAGTCCTGTACTACATACTTGTCAAAGTTATTATTGAATTAAGTGGAAGTTGTAAATAAATTGCAAGATTGTACATTCATATGTAATTTGGAAGGTTGTTTTTGCTACCATTTCTCCAGTTGTTAGAAAGTGCTGCCAATGAGTTTGCTTAAGAATAAACTGCAGGTAGTTTTTGAAGATTATTCATGTAAACTATCTTACATGCCCCTGGTGCATCTTCTCTCCCCCTTGCCATGGGCATTTCCTTTATCAGTAAAAGCTGATCAATACGACCTGCAACAAAGGATGATTCCTATTACCCAGTCTTAGATAAATGACACTTGAAAAGCACATTTCCATTCTAGCCGATTAGGTTAGATCTGCTTTGGGGCAAAAACTTACAAAACTAGTTAATACATTTAAGATGTATGAATCTGCTTTTATGTGTCCTTAAGGCTAGTGGTCTATAAATGGAGAGTCACAGTAAATATCTGTAGTATCTGTCATATATCTGAGACTGACAGTATACAAACATCAGTAATGAGACATATTACATAAAGAGAAAATGATAAAGGACAGATATTTGAGACAGCTGAGCACTTTATTTCAATTTCCCTTAAAATCTATGTGTATTGAGTCATATATATATGTATATATACACACATATATGATCTACCATTTTTCTTTAATCTAATCATTCTTCATCTCTGTAAACAATATGTGTTCCTGTATTTTAAACACCATGAACATTTAATATTTTTCACACGGTGAACTGCTTGTCAATACTTCGCAGTTTTATGTCATTTTAATTTACAGTTTTTTCTTTCCTATTTTTAAAGAGTAGTATAATAAAGCCCGGTAGTAAAGACATTTTTAAATAGATTTTAAGTGAAATCTGAAATAAGTTGAGTAGTGCCAGAATTTCACATTTTGTCGGTCTTCTTTTGACATCATAACATGTCCATACGTCCATGCATTTAAAACAAAACAAAACAAAACAAAAAAAAAAACACCAAAAAAGAGAAGGAAAAAGACAAACACAGACACAGACCCTAAAAAAAAGTGGGGGAAGCTCTTTGCAATATGAAAATTTCAGGTCAGTAGCATAAAGAGTGACCAAATGTGTACCTGGATATAAAGTCTCACAGCATGATTCTTCTTTAGAGAACATCTTTTGTCTAAGGCAACACAGTTCTATAATAGGCATGTAATAAATAACTAAACAAGGACCCAGTTTTTGCAGGTTCAATGTAGTCATCAGAAAAGTGAGTAGCATACGACAGTAAAATGTTTTACAACAAAAAAAGATGAGTTTTGAAATAATGCAAGAAAGAGTGCTTGACTTACGTGGCCCAAGTAGGTACCCAGCACTGTTCAAAGTCCAGCCCCTTTTTTCTTTTGCCTTGAAGAAAAAAGGCAAGTAGGTTAGTGCATGAACTACACAGTACTTTCTGAAGACAAGAAGCAAGCAGCACCCAGATGGATGTTCTTTTAACAGAAGCAGTCTTATGAAGGTTTGAAATAAGAAAAAAAAAAAAAAAAGTTAAAAAAAAAGAATAGCATATAATAACGTCAAAGAAAATACTATTGTTGCACTCCTGCCCCCTTCCCATCTAGTCAGTAGATTTGCTGTTAGCATCCACCTACAGCAAAAAGCTTCACACCATATGAACGAAACTGCAAATCACACTTTGGAAGGAGCAATTTTGACTTTATACTCCAAGTTTGTATTATTAAATTAGATAATCACCTTAGCAGACAGTAATATTTCCATTTAATTGTTTGGATTTACATGAGAGCTTTATGAGGTCCTTATGCACACTACCTTTTCTGAGTCGGACAGGGATATCCACTGAATTTTGCTCTGTCAACTAGACCTTTTTTCTTTTAGTCCCAGTGTTAGTTACATGGGAGCTATAATTCAAAAGTCTAGCATTCCAAAGTAAAAGCCCACTTACTGCCCAAAATATTTGAGTCCTGCATCCCGTACACCTAAATACAGGGTAAATAACTGCTGGGATTTCTGTCATTTGTCAGCTGAGGCACAGATGCTGCCCAATGGAAAGGACCCAGAGTGGGAAATAAGTACTTACAGATAAAACGAGTCCAAATGTTTCTGACAGGGCGGCACAGAGGATGAAAGACAGAAAGAGGAAACTAGCGCACCTCTGCATCTGTAAGGAAACCGTACCAGGGTGAGTGCTCCGAGTTACCCATCGCCTCTGCCCCCCAGCTGCTGGTGGGAGCAGAGCTGAGCATCCTTTGGGAAGGACGGGATGGTTGCAAAGAGTCTGGCACCCCAAATCCCCCTGGGGGGGAAAGGGCAAGGAGGTAGGAAGGGCAGTACCTTGAGCCGGGGTGTGATGACCTCTTGCTCACAGCGCTTCACTGGGTGCTGGCGGGCAATGATGGGGTGGACGTGGTGGTCCGGGGAGGCCCTCAGTGCATGGCCCCAAGGAACTGGCACGGCTCTGAGGGCACAGCACGGCACGGCAAGGCTCTGCACACCCGTCCCCACGTCCCCTCCGCTCTTTATGGGCTGTGGAGCTGCCGCAGCGGAGGGCCACTCTCCTGGGAGGGGAGGCAAGAGCCGCCCACCGCCCCCCTCCGCCTCCCCTGGGTCATTTTCCCTCACCAAGCCACTGCATTAGGAAGGGTAAAAAATGATAGCAATTCAATTAGAGGCATTTGGAAGCACGACGCGGGCTGCAGGGAGATAACGGTCCCGGCAATTACCTCTGATTACGACAGCCTTGGGTAGGCTGGGGAGCTGGGAGAGGAGCTCTGCTCTGGGCAGCCTGGCCTCCCTCTGCAGCTTCACAAGGTCTTGGGTGCTGCTGGGGACTAAGGAAATATAACAAAATACAGCTCACTTGTCAGAAAGGCTCAGAGCTAAAAAACAAAAGTCTACATGGGATGCCCGCTAGCAAGATTCACGGTGCCTGGGTATTGCATTTGGGAATGCAATGCTCAGCTCTTCCACTTGCTCTCCCTCGAGCTCCCTGCAGTCCCTTAAAATCCCTTTGACTCGTATGCCCTTTGCTCTAGCATCACAGCAAAACGAGCTGAAGACAAACTCCGTTATTGTGCTGCCCTGCTGCTTCAAAGTGCTCGGAGACGCAGGAGTCCTTTAGAAACCTGCCTTGTTTGTTTGCTCGTTGCCTAGGCTGTAAGCCAGCAATGTTTTGACTCTGAAATATCTTTCCTTTTTTTTGTTTTCCTTAAGGTCTTGTGTGAAAGGGTAGAATTGAAGCTCTCACCAATGATTAGACTAACCCTAGTGTGTTAATTACAAACAGAAAATTTTCACCGGTTTGCTTAGTTTAGCTGTGGTTACAGCCAGCATGGGGACGTGCAAAATCGAATTACAAGGCACGGGATCCAATATTGGTTCCCTTTAATCCTTGTCAAACTGTATTTTTTTTTTTTTTTGCAATAGATGAACTTACTTAATACAAGTCCCCCTAATCCCTCTTTTAGTATGAAAAGCATAACAGTTGTTGCACAGAGTAAATTATACTTCCAGCTCCTTTTTCTGAAGCTGCTTGAGATGCTTTGCAAACTTTTATACAGTGTGTGTGTGAACCTGGATGTGGAGTAAAGGCTACTGGACAGTGCAGTATTCCTCCCTTTCACTGGTTTTGAAGCAAATAGTAGTTTTATTTCAAGTAGCAAATTTGTAATCCAGGCTAGAAGTATAAACTGTGTCTTGTAGTTCTGTTTTCCACCTTCTTTTGTCAGGAGCCTTAGGGCTGTAATAATCTAGCTACGTCACTGAATTTAAATCTGCCTGAATAAAGTTTAATTTATATGATCCTTAAATGCTAATGTACTTAAATGGGAAGCAAGCAACTTGCTTTGATATTTTGCATCATTCTTGAAAATGTTCTGTCAGGCGCTGCATTACCCTTGCCATTCTGACTAGATAGAACTGGAAAACAGCAAGGTAATTTTTGCAAAGTGTGGTTCTTCTTTACCTTATCAAAGATGCATTTCTGGATGAAATTTCCTAGCTTTCAGCTGTTAAATCCCCTGCAGTCTTCTTTGAAACCTGAAGCTTCACTGTGACAGATTTCTTTTTTTTATTTTTTTTTTTCTGTGTATGTATGTTATTTGAGTATAATCACAGGAATTATATCAAGTGAAGTAAAAAATTGCATTCAAATGGTATTATAAGAATGTAATCAATTCTGTTTTCATTGACTACAATTTATTCTTCAGGTTCCTGTAAAAAGTATTTAAAACAATGTATTTTAACCTGTATATTTTATTCCAATTTTGCACCACAATTCTTGCATTTTCTTGTCAAATTAAAGGGGAAAATGACCTCCTCATCTTCATTAGAGTCAGATAAAAAAAGGAAGCCTCTTTGTATGCTCAAACGGTTAATCCATCATTTGTCCATCATACTTTTTGTGTAAATCTATCTTTAGGTTAGTGTCAATTAAATAATTTTATCAGTCATTTCTACAATTGATGATCTCATTCCCTCAATTTTCCTTATCAAGAATGCTATTATTTTTTTATCTTCCTTAGGAATTTTAACATCACTGCTCAGAGAGAATTAGAATTTAGTTTGAAGTCTGCCTTTTCCAGCTTAGCTTGAAAAATGGCTACATGGCTTATTTTCCTGTTGAGGTGGCTCTTCAAGATACTAATTCTTCCATGGATTTATTTATTTTATTTATTATTATTATTTTTTTTTAATTGGAAAACACTTAAGGTAGTCTGCAGTAGCTGTTAGATTATGCCCAGTCCTTACCAGAAGGCCACCATCAAGCTCACATTGAAATTCACCTAAAATTTACTGAAGTCAATTGAACAATAAGCATTGATTATAAAACTCTCTCTAATATGTCTAAATCAATACTTGAGAGACACTTGAGAGACTGGAACACCGTTGGCTGTCTCACACAAGAACATGTGTTCTATTCTATAATTGTAAATGCATTTAATAATAATTAAACGAAAACACCGGGGAAAATACAGTTTTCAGCCAGAGTAAAATCCTTTAAATATTTGAGGAAATGATTATATAGATTTAAAAAAAAAAAAAGTGTAGAAATGTTGGGCTTGGGGAATATATACACACACACACACACACACACATATATATAACATATATACGTATTTACTGCACTGAAGATTTCATTTTGAGAACAAGTGGTAAGTCCTAAGATAAATCCTAAGGACTGTACTATGAGCTTAATGGTGAGAATTTCTGAGCAATGGAAATGAATTCTAGACTTGTGAGGTGACTGTGAGATAACTTACAAGATAAAATTTTCTCTATGCTGGAATAATTTCAGTGAATCACTAACATTACAGAAGGAAAATGCTTTGTTAGAGGGAGGTCATCATCCAGGTAACCAGAATTGATTTGTTGTAGAGCTTTGGAGATACCTAGCTTTGCATCTAGTTCAATATTTACCAGGGGACTGCTAGCATGCATTGCCACCAACAACTTGTGTTACTGAGTTTTCTGCGCTGGAAACAATTGTAGATTTTTAAGATCATCATTTTAACCCTGAACACAGAATTTTTCCATAACTGAGCATGGAGGTCACAAGCGCAAGGCTTTCTGTGGCTAAATCTAATTCTGAGTGGGAATGGCAGAAATTTCTTTCCAGTAGACTATGTACACTGGTAGCTCTGAGTATCCAAGCACAATGAAAATTTCTGGCTGCCAAAAAAGCTGTGAACTCTTCCACTGATCTAAAGGTTTAGTGATAGCTCAGTGGCTAACAAAGACAATGCCACAGAGCTACAAAGTTCTCTGGAGTGTTTCTAACACTATTACCCCACACTTTGATATTTGCATTCTAGTTGCTTATTGTTAACCTAAGAAGAGTCAAGTTGAACATGACACTGCATTTATCTGAAAATCACATAGAACTTCAATACACAACAGTATCATTACTAAAGTAGTTTGCTCTTTAAGTCTTCAAGAAACCTCTTGATTATTTTCCTTTTTCACGTGTATAGAACTTTCTTCTTTAATGGATGTAGAGCTGAGAACATGGTGGCTTTTTATTATTTTTTTAAAGGAAAAGAAAAAAAGTAATAATAATTGAAGGGTCATTTTCTTCATCCTTCCAAAGCCTTTACTATTGTTTTCCTCCCATTTTCCCATTTTGTAATTCCTGCAAAATGTAGACAATTTTCACTGAGTGAATCTTTTGCCCATTTTACCACCTGCAGCTCAGTGTCAAATAGAACTAAATATTATAGATACTTCCTGAATGAAGGGCTATTTTCTGTTCTGAATTACCCTGATATCAACTAATAATTTCCTATTATTATATCAATCAGTGTGCTGCTAGTGCTATTATTCACACTACATATATCATTACAACAAAATTGTGATCATAGTATATCTTTTAAAATGTTTTTTGGTTCAAGAAGCACAATGATCTTAGGCTAATTGTGTATAGAAAAAAAAAAAAGAAAGAAAGAAAAAAAAAAAGAAACAATAGAAGTTTTGGAAGAATATTCTAAAAATGAATTGCTATATACACCAATAATATTGTGAAAAATGATAACAAAGAGTCTTAATTAGTCTTTCATAAAACTTAAAGGAAAATAAAATATGTCAGATTTGATAAAAATAAGCCAACAGGTTCAAACCTATGAAGGACAGGTTGCCAGACCATACTGCTGCATAAGCTTCATATCCTAAGGAAATCAGATTAAAATAGAAGCTCTCCTGATGAGAGTTTTTCTACTAATCTGAGAAAAGCCTTGAGAATTTGAAATATTCTAAGAAATACCATTTACCAGGGTTTCCTGTTCTTATTGTAGTGGATCGATATAGGTTGCACATTCTACTGCATTTTCTAGTCTCGTGCATCCACTGACCGTTGCTTTTTGGGCAAAGTACCTATATGCAGAAGCCTCACTGAAGTTCAGGAAGAGCCACAACTCCACCAACTTTCTTTACAGGACCAGCCATGGTGGGGGATGGCTTCAGAGACACTCCCTCCCTCAGAAGCAAACACGATCTCTCTGATCTGTTTGTTTTATAGCACGTGAAATACTTCATTTATATATTACATGCATATTAATGTTAAACAATCTGAAGATTCACTGCTTATAAAAAATGTTGCCTATGTTACAAATAATATTAGTTCTTTATCTGAAAACAGACTCATCATAACTCAATTGGAATTTTTGCAGGATGATATTGCATAGCCTTCATTATCCTGCTGTAAATGCACAGAATTATTCTTTTTCTGCTTTGATAAGAGATAACTTCTTACAGAATCTCCGTGTAGTTCAAAAATAGGTTAGGGAAAATTTGGTGTTTCTTATTGTGGAAAGTCTTGAGCACACTTGATCTCTTACAGGGAAGACAAAGTGACAGCTGAACAGGCAGTTCTCCCAGTTCTCAATGAAAAAAGAAATAGGAAAACAACTTTCTTTTTTTCTCACCTGGAAGTTTTTTCACCTCATGCCCTGGTGGTAAGAATACACCAGGAGTAAATATGAGGTAAAAGTGGTTCTCCCCAAGCCTCCAGAAAATTTTCAAAAAAGCAAATCAAACCAAACCACTCCAAAACCAAACTAATATATCAGGCTTAAAAC